TCATGCTCCAGAGACTTCAGATATCTTTTTAATTCGGCTTGGCGCTTTTGTTGAGCATGAATCTGCTCGCTGTGGCCTCACTCTGCTTTGTGCAGGGGCAGTTGCGGCTTCTTGCAGTGCTGCGAGAATCCTGGTTTCAAGTCTTGTAGTTGGAGTAATCCTCTTGGTTAGCTGCTGCTCCGTGATGCCTTGCTTGCCATCCTAGCAAGCGGCCATTCGGGAGTCTAATCCCAGTGCACTCCTGGGATCAAGTAGGGAAGACTCGGCCGCGCTCCATCGTTGAAATTGTCATTTTGGTGTTGATGAGTGACTTTCTTGGCCTGTTGTTCTTTGGTTGGTCCGATGGGTTCAACGGTCTTCGCGTGTTCTCGTACGATGGCAGGATGGTTCTGAATGGGTGCCCGACGCCACGCTCAAGCTGCAGGGGTCCCCAAAAAGAGCAAAGCAAACTTGAAGCGCCAACTTGTTTCTTTCACCTAGTTTTGCCATTTCGAGGCTCGGGCCGGGCCAGGAGGCCTTGAAGGAATCTGCGCTGGAGGCCGTCGAGGCCGGTGCTGAGGGTCCTCTCGACCTTTTGGCGCTCCTTGGATATGCCTTGAGGTAATTAAGCAGCCTTCCGGGTTGCAGGACGGGAATCAAAAAGCCATGATAGCATCACATGTGGTCTGGTTATGGCACGGACCTAGACCTCGAGGCTGCAAATCAGAAGTCACGGACATGCACGCATCAGGACATCGAGCAAGCAGAACCTCCACAGCCATCAACTGCCCAGATGACACTTCCAGACAAGGCCATGGAGGGCACACCAGTAAGCAGAACACAAGGCATTGGTGCAGGTGAAGAACCTGAGCTTCCTGCACTGGAAGTCACATTGGAAGGCATCCCAGCTTGGCACTAAGAGACTGCAATTATGGAGTTGTGGTCAGCAGGCAAGGTTCGCTGCACCACCCAGGCGCTGCCTTGTGAAGTGGCCACAAGGGCCGTCGGACCTGGAGAAGTCTGGGGCTTTCTTAGTGTCGCCGCTTTCTCTTTAATCTGATTCTGCTGATGCTGAGGAAGTTGTTGCCCAATCATCCAGGTGTGCGTCATTCCGGCACATTTACTGCTGGCTCCCTTTGTCCAGATCTTGTCACAGGGGTGTAGCGTGGTCGCGGTGTGGTAGGTTTGAGTTGTAGCAGGCAGAGGTGTTCTTCCGAACGGCCTCAGTGGCTACCCAAGCGATGCCCAGCCCTCCTGTCTCAGATTCAGACGCCGCCCTGAGCACCAAGGATACGTAATACTTAGAAATGCCATGCCGCCAAAGCGCTTTGAGGCCAGAGTTTTGGGTAGATCTTTCCAGGACGTGTTGTGCGTTGAGTTGTATTCAGCCATGTCCCGATCAACGGAAAGGGGACACTCATCGACCCTTGCAGGCTCACATCGAACTGCACGTGGGAAGCATTGATGAGGAGCTCAAACAGCAGATCTCAGCCCCCAACCTTTCGTGAGAGTTGTTGTCGATACGACTAGTTTTGTTGACTCTTCGCTTCAGCGATGCATCATACGCCACAAGCTGATCAGGATCCAGACGAACAGGGCATTGCCCACATGATGGAGCACGTTTGCTTCCTTGGCAGCCGAAAGCGTCAGTTGGCTCAGCTTTGAAGCACTTCGTTTTTGCTCTTCGCTCGTGATTTCCTCATCTAGGCGAGAGACTGATTGGCACTGGGTCTCGATCGAACGCTTTGACAGACTTCCAGAAGCTTGGCCGTGTTAGCCCTATTAACAACAACCTAAGTATTCCGCCTCAGGAAAAAGTCCTGCCGGGTCACTTGGTTGTTGCGTCTGGATGTCCGTGCTGAGAGCTGGGAAACGAGATAGTCTTAGCAACGCAATGGTGATAGTGACGGGTGTGTAAAACGACATAGCGAATGCCCAAAAACGATAACCCCGATTTTTGAACCGGGAACTCCATTCCAGTATTAAACTTGTACTACGATTTATTGAAGATCCAGCCGCCTCACGGGAATCTCGATTCCAGTGCAAAACTTGTACTACGAAGTAATAAAAAACATCTGGCTCATGGGAACATCGGTTCCAGTACTAAACTTGTATTACGATTCAATGAAAATGCAGCCGGCTCATGGGAACATCGATTCGAGATTCTGGCTTGCTCGGTTGTACATTCATTCTTCGAAGTACATTTGCCCTGTAAAATGATAGCGAATGCCCACAAACGATAACCCCAATCATAGAGGCCCACTTGGAAAGAAGGAATATTGGAGATTGCTCATATTGAATCGCAAGGCCTGCTGCTTGCTTTTGCATAGGAATTGTGTGTGACGAGAAGCAAGGCACACCATCTACCACATCCACGCGCCAGTGAAGATGGAGGATGGTCGCTCGATGTATCCTCTGGCTTTGGAGGCTTGAAACTTCGCATGGATGAGACTGCTAAGCAACTTGAAGCCGAACATGTGACTGCCAAACCTATGCTCCTTTTGGGGGCTCTGTCAGCGGACATGATGAGAGGTGTTGTAGTTCGTAAGCGTCGTTTAAACCGGCGGTGTGCAGCCCTTGCGGTTCCTTTCGGAGTTGCCCTTTGTCGTCTGGGTAAGTTCAGCCTTCGCTTTGACTTTGCACAGATGTCACGGGCAGGGGCGTGGTACAGGCTACATGATTTGCAGTCCTTGCGCAGCTGATTCACCAAACAGCGAAGTTGGAAGCAGCCTGCATTGTACACACGCAGAGGAAAACTTTTCCGTGGTTTGGAACAGTTCTGTATTAGCAAGTGTGGATTGGGTTGCGAGCATGTTGGCCCTGCAAAAAAAAACCAAAGTCCACAAGCAATGGCACACAGTCTAGCATGGAGTGCTTAGCTGCCCTGCTTTACATTTGAATCATGTCAAGCCAGACCCCAAAAGCCACACTCTTGGCAATAAATGGAGGCTCTGAACGAAATCGCCTTCGCCCCCGAGATGCTGAACCACCGCATTGAGAAGGAGCGCAAGGCCAGCTTCGTTGTTAGTGCAGCTGTCTGCTGTGTGCACCCTATCTTCACAGTGTCAGTGTCAGGAACATATTTTATCTTCATGTTCTGCAATTGAATCATGCTGGCAAACCTTCTTGCTGGAGCGTGTCTGGCAAAGGACATCAAAGAACGAATTCAAAGTGTGTACTGTTCGCAGCGAGTATTGAAAACGAGGTGTGGGTATCACTTTCAAGGGAGGTGTAAGGGATAAATAAAGATTTCAAAGCACGACGTCCATTACCTGGACCCTGCATCCTTCAACCGCACTCACTGTTCTTGATGGAACAGCTGCGCTGAAACAGCACGAATAGGCTTAGTATGTATGTCATCTGACCTCGCCACTCCACATGCCCAATCACGCTTCCGACGCCGCAGATCTGTCCTCGATTCCCTCTCTTGAAGGCAATCATGTATAAGTGAGCAGCACGTACACAACCTGTAAGGCGGTTCTGGCAGAGATGCAGCAGGTCAATGCCGGGGACCTGTCCCCCTCAGGCTCAACAAGCATGGATTTTCAGAAGCTTCTGTGTTCCCAAGGATATGGAATATCGCATAGAGACGTGGACGCTTTCGGGACTGCATGAGACTAACAAGCTGGGATCGCCCGGCGCCCAACAGCCCTGCACCGGCAAGCTTAGCTGTTGGTAAGATTGGAAGCGCCAAGAAAACGAGGCAATTTCCCATCGGAAAGGAGGAACAGATCAAGGCCTGGCAGCAGAAGGACGGCTGACAAGCTGAACACGGATTGCTCGTGTGTTTATGCGTCCCTGTTGGAGGACTTGCGGAACTTCCATGAGAAATGGTATTATCCCGGAAATGCAACGCTCTATGCCGGCATCCTAACAATAACAAGTGACAAGCCTGCAGGGAGGAACGCACCAGAATTCTGATGGGAGAAGCTGCTGAATTTGTCTAGGCACCATATGTTTCAGATCCTCAGACTGTGCTCCCTTTAAGGCGACTACCCACTGGCATGTGACAGATTGGTAAGATCCTGCACTCTGGTTTTGTGCCGAATGCAAGTGTGAGACATAAGGTGATGACATATCTTGCTCAGGCTTAAACGGATTTTTCTCATGGCAAGGTGGTGGGAGACTTGGATGAGTCGGAGATGATCGACGGCATCAAAAAGGCTTGGCAGAGTGGCCTCAAGCTGTAGGGGTATAGTAGGCTACGAAAACTTTTGTTTGTAGAATCCGTGAGGTGTTTGAGTCAGCTCAACCAAGGCACAAGCTGTTTCCTTGGCTTTTGCACCGGCCACAACCAGTGTTTCTTTTGTGAAGTGATCGGGCCATAAGGCCAGCACCCGACTCGGCCATTATGGACCCCGTGTGGGGCGAGGAGAGTAGCTCTGAAGATGATCCTCTCTATCATTCTCTATCAGACATTATCAGACTATCGGAAGTGAGCAATCTTTTCTTGAGCAGCCCAGTCGTTGATCAGGAGTCTGCGGACGCAAGATCCCTTTTCCGACGCCGCATTGCACGTTACCGACCGGAGCAGCTTCACAACTTCAGCCGGGAACTTGCACTTTGCTGGCTTGCGGTTAAGGAACTTAAGTTAAGTTAAGGTTTCCCCAAAACAGTAACTCAAATTGATTTCCTTAACAGCAACCCAGTGTAGTGCTTATGTAAGTAGAGGTAGCTGTTTAAACCGACGTTGTGATGTCGCTAACAGCAGTGCTTTTCGAGCGACAGTGGACAGGTCTGCCAATGATTGGCACCAATGATGTTTTCACAAAGGCACTTCCAGTAGCTGACGAGTTTGTGTCATGGATGTTGACAAGCATGCATGCATGTATCCGATATAAAGATTGACTCGCATTTATTTTTCCCTATTGCCATTGGCCTCAAGCCGGCCTGGCACTTGGCACCACCACCACGCGCGATCCGAACCAGGCTTGGTGCAGTGCTCGCATTTTTGAAGGCGGAAAAGGGTGAGACTTTGAGCATTTTGAACTTTTTCTTGCTGGAGGTGACCGACCGCAAAGATGGCGAAGATGATATACACCCACACGGATGAAGCGCCCATGTTGGCAACGTATTCTCTTCTGCCGATCATCCAGGCCAGTTGAGTCTTAGAGTTTCTCCTGTGCTTTGTGTTAGTGGACGGGATTTACATCCGCCAAGGCGATGGTGAGATCCTCCAACGTCAGGGTCGAGACTTCGGACATTTCTGTCGCAGCAAGGACGCAATGCACCTGAAAGCGCTGACAAGGAATCTCAAGCTATGCAAGGATCATTGCCTTGTTCCCGGAGAAATTGCGACCTCAACAGAGAATGCGGGACGCCCTGTCAGACCTTGGAAAGCTTTGTCAGAAGCCAGAGGCGTAACTGCTGCTTTCTAGTGTCATTTCGGGCGTTCGTAGAACATTTTCATACACAGCAGGCGAACATCATCAAGCTCCCCAACGTCAGCGCTTCCGTGCCGCAGCTGAAGGTCCGCTTCCCAGTGTCTCATTATGGATAGGACTGAACCTCATTTCAAATCCAGCAGGAAGCCATCAAAGAGCTTCAGGGTCAAGGATACGGCATCCCAGTGGCCAGCTAAGATTGATGCTGAAGAGCTTTGTCGGCAAGACAGGCCAGCCAGCCCAGGATTACCCAGAAGATCCAAAGGACGATGAGGAGAAAAAGGTTCAAGAAAAATACAAAAAGGCAGACTCCAGTTCAGCCTTGCGCCAAAACTTTCAATCCTGACCATGTCTTGTCAACCTTATTTGTAGTATTGCAGGTCCTTGGAAGTGCTGTAAATCCGGTCTTGCGTGAGGCGTGGACTTGAGTGACCCTCATTCTGATTTTAAAGCCTATGGAGTTGTTCTGCAGGGAAACTCTGACCGAAGGGCAGCAACAAGTGTGAAGAACTATGCCAAGAAGCATCCCCACAGGAGCGGCTCTGCAAAGACCGTGTGGCAGAGCCTCGTTTGCCTTGTGTCAGGATGGGCGCCTGGACTGCCGACTCCAAGACGCATGTTTCCTCCATGACTGAGGGTGGCTCCTGCGTGGTTTCAGTCTTAGCTGCCTCGCGTGACCTGCAGGTGACTTCTTTGGAAACGAGCAGTCAGTCACAATTGAGAGCGACACGGAAGTCCCAGGCTCAGAGGACACTGGTATGCAAGAAGCAAAGGATACTCTCCAAACCACTGCCGAGACCCGAGGTAAAGATCGTGTTTGAGTCAGACAGAGGGTCCACCACAACATTGAAGGCCCTGCGGCATGACTTAAGTTTTTGCCCGTTGTCAGCGCCGCCTGGAGGAGAAACTCGCGCTCGTGAAGGGTGAAATCATGGATGCAGCTGCCATGTCTACCGTGAAGCTCAGGGAGTATCTCGAGAAGGACCGAAATGGTGGATTTCAGTTGTGGAGGTGTCAGCGAATCTGCCTCGCCATGCAAGGAAATAGCTGATGCCAAGGCCAAGGATGTAATGTTGTCGCTGCACCTGAAGGCAACCATGATGAAGGCCCCCTCCAGGTGAAGATGTTGTATTTGAAGAGCGTGCGTTGCGGTGCTTGCATATCAGATCTCCGATCCGATTCTCTTCGGACACGTTGTGAACATCTACTTCAAGGACGTATTTGTGATTCGGAGCAAAATTCAAGATGTAGGGTTGAATCGCCTTTCTATTCCTGCACAAAGTGCTAGAAATCATTCGGTTGTGTTGCAGATGCTGCTTGCAGTGTTGGGACTTGTGGCGTGCATCAGTCCCTCCAAGGCAAAGTATGAGGAGGAGTTCAAAGCACTGGGTGTGAATCCGAACTTTGGCCTGGATGATCTCTACAAGTTGCCAAGCTTAATTTAGTGCCCGCTGTGAATATGGTAGTTGCTGCAGGAACCAGCTGATTGACATTCATGTGTTGAAATCTCCACCTCCGAGGAAGCTAGAGAAAAGCGAGAAAAAGGCTGAGATCGAAGCAGCCATCATGGACACCTATAAGGCACGAAGTCAAAACGTTACATGCGACGGCACGTCAGCCTGTGCCTTTAGGTCCAGCCCCGCCTGGCCATGGTGAACTCGGACAAGGGTTGCTGGGATTCAAGATGTCTACTGCGCAGTTCTGTTTGGGAGCCAAAAGTTTCCAAACGCTCAGGAATCACAAACTTGCACGTGTCCAGCAATGCCGCCTTGGTAGCAATATAGCCAGGAAGCGTCAGTGACTTCACAACTAAAGCCACGAGGTGATCATCGACGCCTCCATGCCAGCCATGATCAGGGATGGTGGCAAGATGTGGAACAAGGCGTGATCTTGAACGTCCATGCCAGGGAACGAAAAGTGAGAGTTCCTTTTGTCAGGACAACAAGCAGGAAGACACAAAATGCCTCATCCCAGACCGATGCTACGCAGGCGTTTTCCAAACGGTCATTGCGCCCCGGCTGGCAACATGAGTGCCTGCCAGAAATCCAGAAATCCTGAGAGTTCTTCACACGAGGACTTTTGCAAGAAGAGTGGAGCATTCAACCCGAGCACTATGGGCACTGAGCCTTGGCCGAAAGAGTTTCTGTCTTTGTTTCTGTCTCTAATTTTCAACAGCAAGCCCTCTTCAGGTCCCTAACGTTGGGCTCATGGCCCAGAAAGCAGAGGAGTGCGGAGACCCAGAGAAAGTCTTCTAGCACAGCTGAGCACAGCTGGCAAAGATAACTTCTGGGAAGGTATGGGTCTCACGACAAGACCTTCGAGATGAAGGAATCTGGCAGCGTCATCCTCTCAGAGAAACTGAGTCATGACCACTTTTGAAGTTGTTCCCGAATGCGGCAGGTCAAGGTCATCGACTCCTCAGGAAAGGTCTTGCTGGAGACCAAGGCAGATTTACAATTAATTGACCGAAAAACCCCACATGAGCTCTCACATGTGTAGCTTTAGTGGATCCGGATGATATAATTTCCAGATGGAGTCGCCGGCCAAAGCAAGAGAAATAAGTTAAATAAAGTCAGGAACAGGATAAGGAGAGGAGACGGCAATCGGCGATGAAGTGAAGAGCATGTTGCGTATGTTTATTAGAAGAAGGTACCTACCGAGCATTATATAAATATATACACAGATATACTTACACACGTATATATATATATACATATACATACACGTAACTACACATATGTAGCATAAGTTCCCAAGTGACGGCCACTGGTTTGAACCGTGCAAAACAGGTCTCAGGTTCCCCTTTGATTAAGTTCCCAAGTGACCGCCTCTGAACGCCTTAAAGTCAGCCTCAAGTCACTCTTTGAATAGGTTCCTACATGACAGCCTTTGGTTTGACCCTCCAAAGCCAGCACCAGCTCAGCTCACTTCTTTGAATAAGTTGCTGAGTGACCACCTTTGGTTTGAACCTTCCAAAGCCAGCCCCAAGTCAGTCTTTGAATAAGTTCCCAAGTGACTGCCTCCGGTTTGAACACCCCAAAATCATCCCCAAGTCACTCTTTGAACAAGTTCCCAAATGACCGCCTTTGGTTTTCGATCTAACCGTAAAGCGGAGAATCTCAAGGGTTAGGGCGAAATCGTCTAACCGTAAAAGCGGAGAATTTGAACGGTTGAGGCGAAAGAGTGTAAGCGTAAAAGTGAGCAATTTGAAGGTTTAGGGCGAAAGAGTCTAACCGTAAAAGCGGAGAATTTGAAGGATTAGTGCGAAAGAGTTTAACCGTAAAAGTTACATTTCTTAAGCATTAGCGTTTTTTGGAGCCTCCGAAAGACTATTTTAAAGGCGGTCTAGAAGAGGAGTTTAAAGGCGTGGAAGAGGAGTTTGAAGGCGATTTGGGGGCGTGTCTGAAATGCACAGGACAGGTCTACAAGAGCAGTTTAAGAGCGTGGGAGAGGAGTTCAAAGGCGATTTGGGCCGCGCCCGAAATTTTGCAAGATGGGTCTAGAGGAGGAGTTTACAGGCCTGGCAGAGGAGTTGAAAGGCGATTTGGGGCACGCCCGACATGTTGCATGATAGGTGTAGAATGGTCTAGAAGAGGAGTTTAAAGGTAACTCGAGCTTAAATTTGTTAAACATGAACGGAGCCAATTATGTAGCGATTTAAAGGTGAATTGGCGATTTTTGGGGTGCGCCCGACATGTTCGTCGCACCGGAAGCAGCAAGCGGTCGACGGGATCTAACGACTAGAAGCGCACAAAGAATGTGGGAAAAGAAGGCTAGGCATGTGTATCATGCGTTCAGGTGGGAGCTGGGGACATCTGGCGAGCCTGCCAGACCAAGGATGTGGCCATCAAGGAGACATTTTCGGTGCTGTGTGCTGCCTAAAGCTTCAAGATGAACATGAAAGGACTGGGTGAAGTTGGCCGTGACAAGGGCCAGGGCTTCGAGCACGCCTGCCATCTTCTGGCTGAACAAGGAGCAGTGGCACGAGAGTGTCATGGTCGGGCTGGTACTCTATGTGTTGCAGCCAGGACCGCGCACACGACGCACAGCTGCTTAAGAAGGTGAGAGGGGAGCTAAGCCACACACCGCAGACGCTGTTGATGATAAACTGCTAAGAGGTGGAAGCATACCTGAAAGACCACGACACTTCTGGTCTGGAGATCAGCATCAAGACGCCCGAGGAGGCACCGACCGTGGAACAACCAAAGGGCACTGCGAGTCTTGCTAGCAGAGGCCTGTCTTGAGTCTCTGCAGAGGGCAAAGGAGAGCAAGGCAGGGTTACATACAAGTCAAAGTAGCCTCGTCCAAGCTGCACGCGCACACACGCGGCATGCAGGACACCATTTCTGTCACAGGAGCCTCACTTTGAACTTGTCCTAAGCTTGTGCATCCTGCAAGATACACCCCAAAGGGCTTGTGAGGAAATGTGTTGCGAGACTACAACACAGACTTGTTCCCTATCCTGGAGCTCAATACCAGTGTGGGCTCCTCAGAGATGGAAAGCCGTCCTGCCCAAAAATGGTCATGCTGCTCATGCGAGATGAGGCCAAGATGCTCTCCATTGTGCCCATGCTTGCTGGAGGCGGTATGTACGTGTCTTGACCAGCAAATTCCAGCAGTCCTCCTTTTCATGCTCCCGGCGCTCCAGTCTGTGTATTCCGGCTCCAGCATGAAGGAGTGAAGTTCTAAGGAGACTGGTGCTGGAGGATCTGCACCGAAGCATGTGGAGCAGCATCTTGGTTCGACGGGATCAATTGCTGTACCTGTCGGGCATATGTTCTGATGTTTCTTTTGAGTGCAGGCCAACAGAATTCAGGCTAACAGCATTGGATGCTAGTTCGCTTACTGTACGCTTCCATTCCAAGTCATAAGAGCTGAAATCGATCACAGCAGAAGATAGCAGAAGCCTTTCTTCTTCAACAGAGGTTCGTGGAAGAAGGCCATCTGCGTCATTGCCTCGGCAATCCCAGGCCCAGATCTGATTATGCATCCGCAAACCTCCGGACCGGATGAGGTTGGGACTCCTTGGGTGAGTTCCTTGCACTGGAGCCTTCCCTCATGGACATTGGCACGAAGGGTGAGAACAAGAAGGACCAGCACTGGCACAATGGATGACTAAAGCATGTACAGGGTTGTGCAGATCGACCTTTAGACTTGAGATTCTCTTTGGGAGGCTGTGGTGCTGTCAAAGGCTGGCTGTGCATCGATCCTGGATGTGCCAAGTGCTATGCACGCTCTGCGAGGCACTGGGTTTGGCAATCGAAAAATTCCTGGAGGAGAACAAGTCGCCCTCTCGCAAGGCCAGGGCAAGATATAGTCATCAGCATAGCATCCTGGCATACGTATACGCTGCACGTACGCATCTCTTCAACCCGCGTCCTGGCTTGCCCACGCGAAACAGCAAGGCCTTCCCCTGCCCAAAACTCTAGCATTGACATGCTTCGCTGCCGAATCGTGCATGCCACTTTGCCACTGTCCTTGTGACGGAGTCAACACCCCAGAAGCAAGAGGTGAATGAGATTGACAATCGTGGAAGTCCACGGCCAAGCTTGTTTTCCGCAGAGCTGCGCAGTCGACGTGTTAAAGCCTGGATGATGCCAGGCCATTTCTACCTCTGCTTGTACTGGGTGGAGGCCCTTGCCAATCAGAGCGAGGATGAGCAGCTAAAGGCACGATTGGAAGGATGTATCAAGCTGCGAAGATGCTGCGAAATCAACAGGCGCAGTTCACAGCTGGCTTGGCCAAGCTGAAGGAAAGTGAAGCGCAGATTGCAGAGGCGCAAAAATCAGCCTGAGTGTGGCAAGCTGTTAGTGCCGCCGCCGCCACCACACCTCAGGATCTGGTTAAATGTCAAGGCAAGCCGGTGGATATTGGCGGCTCCTGATCTGAATCACGAACCTTCGGGTCTTGACCTGGTTGGCCTACTGTCTAAACACTGTTTGCACACCTGGAATTGGTACGGACACTCATAGCAAGCTTTGCACTCATGGTTGCTGCTGCATTCGGCCCAGGCTACTACCACCCCGATCCGCGGAAGACACGCGTCGAACTTACAGGCAGCAGGTCTGGTGATCTTTGGGGAGATTGACCTGTGTGCGTGCAAATCCAAAAGGGAGTAGTAGCAGCAGCCTCAGCAAGAGTGGCAGCAGCAGCTGCAGTGGACATGGCAGCATTTGTGGTGGTAGTGGTGGTGCTAGCACCTTAATGATCTTTCGGTGCTACTTTAGATCATGCGCTGGACCGTTGATATCCGGACATCGTTCAGCATGAGGTGTTGTCGTGTCGTTTTTCTAAGTTGAGGCGCGAGAGTTTCGGGGTTCGAGAGGTATTGTTTTAACTTGTCTAGAGTGTGGCACACTGTTGTGTGTTTGGGTTTGAGTCTTTTTCAGGGCTTAGGGTTTCGGGTTGTAGTCTTAGTGTGTCAAAGTGTTCAGGATGTGATTTCAGTGGTCTGAGGTGTAGGGTGCTTTGGCGTGTCCAAGTTGAAAGAATGTTACTGCCCCAGACTACGACTCGTTGGGAGAACTGTTTTTGTATCTGCCTTTTTCAAGCTTGTCATTTTCCAGGGGGTTGTTTTTGACAAATACTTGGTTTGTTTTCGTGGCTTGGCCGCTGTTTATTGTTCTTTGCATAGCTTCTTGGCCTTTTGCCTGTTCTGGCTTTTCGACTTGACTAGCGCTTCTTGTGGTCTACGTTCGTGTGCCAGTCTAAAGCTTGGTGTGCATGATGCCTTTTGATGTTGATTCATTTTTATTTGTAGTTTCCATGTAGCTACAGCTGTTGTTCCAATTCCATTTTTGTGACTACCCCTGTTTCAGGTGTAGATTCGCTGTGTTGAACCACATCTAGGCCTTCTGCGCCCTCTATCCTCCTTAACATCGTGACTGGAGTACTGTACTGCTGCATTTGCGCACACCAGCAAGGAGAAGAGAAGGAGGCAGGCTGAGAAAGCGAGACAGAGGGGCAGGGGGGCGCGAGGGAGGGCGAGGGAGGGCGGGAGGGCTGGGAGGGAAGGGGGCAGGAATGGTCAAGCCGAACCTGCAGGCCAATACCCCAACATGAAAGGAACGTCAAATTCCTGAAAGAGAGGGGTTAAAGGGGGGCGGGACAGTTGGGGTCCTTGGATCTAGGCACCTTAGCCCTCAGGCCTCGGCTGATTCTTTGTATTATTACACTTGCAAGTACTGCCCTATTCTCTTCTTTACGAGGATGACGCAATGACCGCAGAGCCGGCCCTGGAAGGTCCTAGCTCACGAAAGGTATTAATTACGATTGTGACTCTAAGGCTCCAAAAGCAATCGCATTCGCAAGGATATCTACCGTTTGTGTCCAGGCACACGGAAGGTTGCAGGGGCGGATGTGTTTGCTGCCAGGTATGCGATTTGGGGAGACTTGCAGGGACTCCGTTGAAATTCCTTCGATTGAAAATGTTCAGCGCAAACCATGAGTCCACACCGTTGTAGCAGCAGCAGGGGCAGTCAGCAGTAACTCTCAGTTGCTTGGTAGCAGAATTCGACACGTTTACCTATTGATTTGGGGTTGACGTCGGGGGTACGGGATGGGGGAAGGTGGTGGGTTTGGGGGAAGGACGCTTGTGCAGCTTGCCAACATTCCGAATTTCTTGATGGTCTCACTGGCAAGTCTCTGCCAGGCGGGCCAACCTTGGGGGGGTCATCTTTTCGCATGTTCTTGGTAATTATTGTGTGAGCCGCAGCAGCACTAGCAGCGGCAGCAGCAGCAGCACAAGTGCTTCCTTTCTGCTCATTGTTGTGGTGCTGGTAGGTTGTGGTCACTGGCGTCTAAGGCGTTGCTATGCGGCCGAGCGATACATTCAATCGTGCCTTGCCTCAAAGTGTTCTCTGAACATTTTGGCTGCAGCACAGCTTGACCTGTTTCTGCTTGGCAGAACAGAGTTCAAGTTATATCACCAGACAAGACATTATCAGTCAATGCGGCCGAAGGTGGCCGCCTCAACGGCTCATGGGCCACGCAAGATACTATGGTGTTATCTGCTTGTGTTCATGGCATTTTGGCTGGCCACCTGCAAGGGAGCGAGATTAATCTCGACTAGTCTGGGGCTTGTCATGCTTGTCAAGGGCTCACGTGGTGGTCATTTCTGTTTTGCTTTGGCTTCTTATGCGGAATCTGCTCGGTTGCGGGGAAGGTATCTTGAATTACATCATGCACTGGAAGCCGCTTCGAAAGCCGACATTTACAAAGGTGGAGCAGGCTCATATCAACATTGCACGTTTTGAAGATACTGTGCGATACACGCCCTTGCAGATTGAACCAGAGCAGCGTGGAGTCAATCTGATGTTGTCTCTTGGCTGAGTCGGTGGCCAATGCTTAGTTTTGCTTGCTGTGGTGTTGTCTCAGAGCGACGGCATTTGTTTTTGTTGTCTGCAGGAAATGCTTGTCATGCACCGAGACGAAGGCATCGGAAAGCAATGCTTCAGGCTCGCTGTAAGACGCGCAAGATGACGGTTTGCAAAAGCGTCTGTAGGGCTGGGCCGGTGATATTCATGCCTTTGGCCCGAAAGGTTTGCGGATTTGGGAAGCAAAATGTGGGGACGAGACTGGCGCTGTGACTCTGTCGATTCGAAGTCCGGAGATTGCCGAGGTTGGTGTGTTCGCAATTTTTCATGACAGACGGAGACCAGACTTTGTGGCCAGGTCTGCAAGCCTGACGCATCATTGAGACTACAGAATGCAAGAGTACGCTCCTGAACTGGGCATTCGGACAAGCACCAGCTTCATGCACGTGAACACTGCGAGGTGGTCATGGTTAAAGGCTTTATCCGTCTCAACGTGGACAAGTGGGCTGCCACTTGGATGTTGCACATCTGGGAGTGGAGTATTGGATTTAGGGTTGGGTTGTGAGTTCCTGTGCCAAGAGGTAAACCCTGCAGCCTGAAGGTCCTGTTTAAAGACTGCAGTGTTTTCGGTAGGTCTGAGCTACGAGCATGAAGATGTTGACATGAGGCCCTCAAGCCGGCTGAGCCTCTGGAGTGTAGCGTGAATACCAAGAGCCTCGGCTGGTTACTTCCTGACGCTGCCCGGTCTGTGTCTAGCTGAGCCTAGGAATGATGTCTCTGCCGTGGAGTATGAGCTGACAGCCGCTTAATTTGGGCTCCTCAACGGATCTTGTGTTTGCTGACATGAGTGGAAGGCTCCGTGCCGGTCATGCCTACCGTATCTGTGCGGGGCGGCATCGGTGCCGCAATCCGCTAGCCTTTGTCATGAGAGTTTGGTCTCTTGGTCTCATGACGACCTCGCCACGTTGGTGGCCGCGTGGCAGCTGCGAACCCACAGCGCCCAACTTTCATTGACCCAGCCATCAGCCCTGAACAAATCTTGTCTGGGTTGAGCCGGGGTTTAATGGCAGAAGGGCACCTGAGGACCCTTGCATGTTGCTTCATTTGTCCTGCAGGTCTAGATTTTAGGGTTTGGCACCGCCATGCCTACATGGCTGTTCACGCTTTCAAAACAAATGGGGTCAAGTCGGGCATCGCCTCGGTGCCAAACTGTTGAAGGTGGCAGTGCGCACCGCAGTTTCAGAAACATGAGACACCCGTGCCACGATTGCAGGCTTCCTGCGTCGTGCTCAGGTTCAACTGTTTAAGCAGCTGCCATATCTGTTTCCGGATATTGCCAGATTGGCGAGTGAATTCCAGAAGCCAGAAAAAGTGAAGTCAGTAAAGTTGCCGTCATTGTAGTCAATCATGCTCGCGTCGATCTCAGCGTGCTTCCGTGAGGCAGCGGCCTTTGATCCAGAGAATGGTGGCAAGCCGGGCCCTCATAAACTCAAACTCCAGCCATCGAAGCACAGGAAGCATGCGCTGGCTTCAGGCCCTGGCACGGACCTCTGCGGATCTTCCGGAACGAGTTGCTGGAGGGCCTGCAGGCATCCCTTGGTACCCTTGGATGCTTCATTGATTTACTTCAAGACGTCTGCCGCCAAGCTCAACTTCTATGCAAAGACGCCGGTACGACCGCTACAGACATATGAGGACAGGCACTAAGCACGGTCTTCTGCAGGTTTTGCAGCATTGGCACAGGACATTCGCAACCTGATCGCTGTCCGCATCCTTGTTGGCCGGCTTCTTATGTTCTGTGTGCTCCATGAAAGAGGAAAAGGCAGTTGACTTGCGGAAGTCTAACATTCAAGGTGTGCTCCAGTTCCGCATCGTCTCACGCTACTCTTCGAACCATGCAGGGGACTGAAAGCCAATGCCACTGCTGTGCCAGACATGATTCTCCAAAAAAGGCGCCAGTTCAGATCGATCACAGCGACTCTTTCCGAGAAGGCTGCGCTGTCTTGACCTCAAGCCGGCGATCATCAACTTACGTGCATTCTGATCTCGGATTGTCTCGAGGTCACCTCCATCACCGTCAATGCAGACCCGCGGGACTGGCGCAATGCCTTGGCCTGCGTCCTTCAGGAGGCGAGGCTTCTTGGGATGTTGCTTTTGTGTACTTCAACGGTCAGATGTTGTATGGCGTCCCTTTCATGATGTTTGGGCAGATCCGTGCCATTTGCGACTATGGCATCACCGAGAGTGAGATGAAGCGATACATGGACGCTATGCTGAAGGACTCCGTGCTCCACAGCCATGCAGCTACCTATTGAACAAGACGTGCCGGAAGCATCTGATGTGTTCCACAAGTGTGAGCTGCTTTCGGGGGGGTCCCTGTACGAAGCATTGTTGCACTTTGGGGTACATCGGGGGGCTGCAGGTTTGCAGCACTGGACTCCTCCTGCAATATGAGATCCTTCTGAGTGAGGACGTGCAGAAGGGTGTGCAGGAGAACGACACAGTGCCCTCAGAGGTCAAGCCTGCAATGATGCCGCGTTGTTTGCGCTACAGTTGCGAAGCTTCCAAGGATCACCTCAACTTCATCATGACCAGTGACGTGTTCGACCACGCGCAGCCCATACTGTCCTATATCTCTGTGCATGAGCTGCTGTGACTCACTTTGAGTGTGGTGGAAGCCTCTGTGCTGAGGTCGTTATGCATCCAGAGCAGTCCTATGCAGCCTTCAAGGAGGCTTTCTGGCATTTTCCGGCTGTCTTGGGCAAACCCACGTTGGCTGGTTTCAGGTTGCTCCCACAGTGACAATGGAGCAGGCGAATTTGCTGGTGTTTTTGCTTTGCAAAGGGTGATTGACGCTGGTTCTGATTGAGCTGACGCGATAGCTCTGGACTGGTACATCATAGTGGGGGCTACCGCAAGCAACACATTGCAAAGAGAGCTGTATTCGTTATATGTCGGGTGGGAACAAGGGAGGGCTGTTGATGCGCAACGTTATGTTGGCTGGCAGGTTCATGCGACAGCCAAGTGGATGTTGGGCTTCATTGGCTATTACGGATTCGCCACTGCGCCCCCGGTGACTGCTATCGTTGTGTGCGAGACTTATGCATTCTTATTAGTAGATTTGACTGGAGAGTCGTGCAGCTCAGGTGCACACCAACACAGGTCTACGAGGACATCTTTGCTTCATGATGTTGTGCAGGGCGTGTTCCGCACCGCTGCAGGAGCACACGGGGAAATGGGCCAGACACCTAAGTCGTCACATTACAAGCCTGTGGCTAAAGATGCATAGACCCAGCCTGTGCAGATCCCGTTCAGCATCACGGAGCAGGAGATCATTGAGCTGCTGATTTCAGAGCCAGCCTTATGCTGTCACTGTATGATCAGTTGTCCACAGAAACCAACCGCAATAGCTGCAATCGTCTTTGTGTGTAGCTGCTTCCTGCCTCAACGTCACATGACGTTTGATTTGCCAACTGTCAGCCAACCTGGTGTTACTGTGTATCAGCCTTGTCTGCCACGACCCCTGAACCAACCAAGCGGCCTTCCCTCAAAAGCTCGTGCGGGCTTCAGATTCGATTGATGGAGCCTCTAAGGTTCCTGACAAGACCAAGGAGGAAGCACTCAACCAGGCACTTCTGGATGAAGAGCTGGGCCCGGAACTGTGAGAGCTGTCGTGCCCAAGTTCAGGTTGACGTCCCGGAAAGTCTGCTTGAAGGCTGGTGACTGCAATCATGCATGGATACAATGCTCGGAATGGCTCGCTGGTGCCTGAAGGAAAGAAGTTGGAGAAGCTGCTGCCGCCAAATCCCATTGACGTCCTCTGCCTAGATAGTGGCTGGTGCCATGATATGCCATGCATGAACTTGATTGGTGGATCCGGCCTTCGTAAGGCTGTGACAGCCTGGAGGGCCTCCTCCCGAAAGGTGCTACAAGGCTTGTGGGCGTCCGCTCTTGGAAACATCCTGCCTGTGAGGTGGATGATGCCACCGGAATTGTGCAGCTGATGCTGCCCAACGGAGCTCGTGCATGCCCTGCATGTTGCAAGCGATTGCAAGTGATGTATGGGAAGCGGGAAATTGTTGTACAAGAGTATAGGAGATGGGTTCTGCTGACCAAAGTATGGAGTAGATGTTCAAAGACACATGGCTCGCAGAGGCAAGAAGGCACCAAGGAAGGATTTCGCAGATGACTGAATGCATACATGCGCAATCATTCGCAGAAGGGTGAGAGAAGGGAAGGGAGACACTACATGCAGCAGCCTAGCTTTCAGACAGAAGAGGGCGTATGGCAGGTCAACTACGCATGCACTCCGAACGAATCTCAAGGCCTGGCTTCAAGTCGAAATTGCACTATCATTACTAGCAAATGGTCTCCAGGAACGATGCGCATGCTGGTTCCGGGTGGTCGGGCGGGCTGCTCGGATCATTTGCGGCTCCAAAGTTGGTGATCCGCTTTGGCGGCTGCAGTCCTCCGACGAATCCGACGAGCTCGGATCGGCGATGGTTGGCATCCGGCACACGAGACATGTGTTGGCAGATCATGCGGGAAAGCAGAGAAGACAACCCGAATACTTTTGCTTTGGCCTTTTCGCTACGTTGCTGTGCAAAGATTGCGAGAAGACGGAGTTGCCAGGACAATTTCGGAATCAGGAGCTGCCGAGGGCCTAGACTGCAACGGAGCTTTCTGCATTCACTGCCAGACCTTAGGTCAGCGACTTTTCACGGGAACAGATTGAGTTGTTCGCAGTCTCAAACTTGATGAGCGTTCATCTGGCCAGCAGCCCAGCAATCCGTTTGCCCGGGCATTTGGGCATTCTCAAATGGAACCATGAGGACTTGAACCTCGAGTTTTGCTACATTGACGCGAACTTTACCAACACCACTGGTGGCAGCTGAGCTGAAAGCATCTGTTTTGGAAGTGGTCTGAGATCCAGATTCCAGCTTCCCAAGGTCTGAATGCCGCCCAGTCCTCAAGCATCAGTAGCAGAACAGCACTTCACTGCTGTAGGTCCTGCTACATGTACCCGGGAAAAACAGGGGAAATAGATTACTGCTGGCTCTTTCGCGCAGAGATGCTGGAAACATAAACTTGATGTCGCCGCATTCTAGTGTTCCCGTTGTTGTCAGCGAGTCAGTTCTGTGCGTTTGTTCTTCCGCAACAGTTCTACCCAGATTCTCGACAGAGCTTCTTCTGACTTTGTGTGATTGCCCATCCTGTTGCTCAGTCTTCTCGCTTTGGCTGCCTTGACGTCTTCTGCTGTTCAGGTGCTTGAGCTGCTGCATCTTCTCTTCCAGGACCGCGCACAAATTCTTTTGTCGTGGTAAGCACTAGGGAAGGAGAGATGCAGGGAGTCCTGAATGGCTTTGCGCGGCCAGGAGCCGCGCTGGGAGGTGCCGGCGTTCGTGCGCGCCCAGCAGGCTTACAAGGACGGAAAGGTTAGACTTTGCCGCTGGCATGCTTGCTGTATTATGTGCTGCGTGCTCAGTGAAGGCTCAAGCCTATGCTGTCCAGAAGTCCCTGGTGCACAGCTCAGAGCACGATTTGGAAGTGTTGATTGGGCCGGCATGTCTTTGATTTTGTTTTGGTAGAGGAGCAGAGCACCATGGATCGGCTGATGCGGATGATGTACTCGGCACCTCAGCTGCAGAGTCTATGGCATGGCGTATATGTTCTTAGGGCTGTTTTTGTATGGTCGCAAGCTGCCAGGACCCTCGAGTGTCCGAAGCAAAGATCGAAGACCTGAACAAGCTCACCTTGGCCAAGGCTTGCTGCGCGCAAACCGAATGTGCTTCATGCACAACATTTTTTTTTTTGCAATCGTTAAGTTCTTGGCAGCGTCATCTGACGCTGAGAATGGGGCCAGCTCATTTTGCCATCTCACCGCAATCCATGATGAGGATCAGGCTATCGTCTCATGCGGAATGGACCCTAAGTAGTCTACTACATTACTACAGCAACATAATTCCTAGGGTTTTGCTGCATAGGGTCATGCCATGCCGGTTTTTTTTCATCAACCGGGAGCATTGCGCAGCCGTATCAGGAAGCAAGAACCCTGAGGGATGCCTGTGTACCCTCTGACCAGGAGCAAGTCCTGACATTTTCAAGTTGCCGGCGTGCTATGCAGGTGCGCAGAGCGGTGAGCGGGCAGCTGAGGCCACAGGACAGCATGTGCATCGGCTCGGTTGCTGTTGAATTCCCAGTCGCTGGTCACTGGTTGCTACAGGTTGAGCTCAAATAAGATCATTAACTTCAAACTTGCCATTTCCAACTCTCGGAGATGAGCCCTTCGGGAATTCTAGGTACTGTTACCTTTTCAAAGGTAGTAAACACTGCTGCATGCCTTGAATTTACAGGCTTCTTCGAGCTGATGTGCATATGGCAGATGAAGTTGCCAGCTCGTTATCTAGCTTTAAATGTGACATTCAGAACTTGAGTTGTTCCTCCTGCTTGTTGTGATGTGGTTTCATGCTGGTGGAGCAGACTTCAGCCCGCCACTCGCAGGACCTGGAAATCAATTTGGTTGCTGACTTTGAAGGCAGAGGCCATGGCAAGATGGCAAGTTGGCCTCCAAGTTGCAGGTTCTTTTGGGGGTCTTCCCAGAAGAGGTGTGCCTTTCAATTGTCTCGGTGTATGCAAATGCACATGAGGTGTCGAGGGTGGACTCAGTACCGGCAAGCATCGCGAGGCAGGGGGAGGTAACAAATTGCACTGCAGGCTCTGGTGTGTCTTTCCAGGAGGGAGATGTCGAACCAGAGGAGGTGGAGCTTCCTGAAGCGGCAAAGCAGCGGAGGCGCACGCAGACACGCAGGATGTCGTGGCACATGGCTTTTTGTACAATGCTCCATGCGTCTGTGACCTGAGGTTCTTGGAGCTTGATGAGGCTCTGTGGAAGTACCTTGGATCCCTCCCGGCCAGTGAAGTTGAGCAGGCCTGTCCTTGGTAGCTTTCAGTGCGCTGCAACTCAAGTACATCCCACCCCGTGAGGTCAATCTTGCCCGCCATCCGCAAATCAACAAGGGCGAGGCAGAGCATTGGGCGGTGCATGCCCATCCAGCACCAGGCAGTGATGCAAGACGATTTGCCAGGAGATGTCCCCAGAAGACAGGCAACGATCCGCACACATTGAGGAGCGGGGCTTGTTGAAAACGAGCACCGGATAACATTCTCAAAGATCTTAGATTTCCAGGACAGCGACGAGCGCGCTGTTGCCAACATTGGCGGGGGTGCTCCGAACCGCTGGGGCAAAGGTGACCAGTACCACCAGCAGGCCATCCAATAATGTAATCTGCATGCAGAGGCACAGGTTGGATGCTGGCAGGATTGTGTGGCAAACCCTGCATGACCTCAGATCATGGAGACAAAGGGCTTCTCCTGGGATGCACCTAACTCCAAGCTCAAGGATCATCCGCCCCAGCCTCTGGCCTCCATGAGCATGCAACTGTGATCCACGCTGCTCCACGCAAAATCTGCCGAGGCTCTATCCATCAATGTGCCTCATGGCCATGCGTGAGGCACGTCAAAGCTCAACTTCGTGCTGCAAAGCTTGTGAATATTCAAAGCTTCCAGGTCATCAACACACGTCTTTTCTCCACTGCCTGGATCTATGTGCACAGGTTGTAGGAACCCGTAAACACCTGGAGAATGTTGCAAGGTGAGAGATTCACTGGGCTTGTCTTACGACTGTGCCCTGGCATGCTTGCTGTTTGCGTGATGCAGATGCTGCTCGAGATGTTTTGCGGGTCTATGTGACAGTAACGGACACGGTCTTAGGCGAGATGTCAGTCGTGCTGTCGTTTCTTTGCCAGGCAGCTTCGAGCTGTCCATGTTCGATCGATTGGAGGCACGGCTGGACGTTGAATTCTGGATGGCTTCTCGAGCCTGCACATGCCTGCACTGTGCAGGCTGGATGGTACAGCTGCACAGTCAGTGCTCATCCGTGCCTCGGTTGAGAGTAGGTCGGGCCTGGGAGAGGTGGCCCAGCAACTCGGCCAGGTCTAGAATTATGGAGGCCGTGAACGCAGCCAAGGGAGTGCTCCAAGGAGCGGACAGCACAATCACGCTCTATATCACTTCCCATGATGCCAGCAAGGCGTAAAACGACGCCCGATCTCGGAACTTGAGCTCTCCACAGCAAGGAGGAGCCCAGCCCAGGGTACCCTAGTTGATGCGGAAGGCCGCAACTGTTTTTTTGGTGGGTTACCGGGTTGTACTTTCCTGCAGGACACTGTTGCGCCGGCATGAGACTGACCTCCAAAGCAACGAGCTGGCTCCTTAATAGGTTTTAATCACTGTGTTGGTGCAGTGGACCAGTGGCTTGTTCAGCCAGGCAGCAGCTGGTGAGCATACCTGGGCATGGGAAAGTCGAAACATGTCAGCTAAGGTATTGGATCTCTCTTTTGACCCACCTGCAGTACGATAATCCCAAGGAACGAATTCTCCGTCAACCATGCTTAATGCATGTGTCAGCAGTTGACCTGAGCTGAGGGCTGGGTTCGCGATATCGGGTTTGAATGCTGCTCAGTTTCTTGCGTCAGGTGTCAGATGTTCATTGTAGAGGATCCACGATAGGATCTCTAATTTTGTGTGTGATGGTCAGCATTTCTGAGGGTATGCGTTTTCGAGTGGTGACTTCTTTGTCGCTGCATTATTTTCATTGCAGGAGCTTCCACTCGACTACTGCTGCTTGAGCATTGGGTGGTATGACTTGGCTTCAGCCCACTGCAGTACGCAATCCTTCGTACGTCCGTTTGAGACACCATTGTCGGACCATGGGTCCAACTTTAGACAGCTGCTTCTCGAACAACATCATTTAGCTTTTCACTCACATCGATTTTGATATGAGAAGCTGCCATGGACATATGGAGCCCTAGAATTTGGGCTAGAATTTATTTTTTTGTCTAGATAAGCTGCAGTCCAAACCTTAATCGAAACCTCAAGCGCACAGCTCAAAGCCCCAACAACTTCAACTCAAGGTCGAACGCTCAGAGCTCGCCAGAACCCTGTACATCCCAAATCATGAAGCAACCGTAAGCATCAAAGCCATAGGCGGCCATCCGGCATGCAAATCCTGATGCCATGTTCCAAAAAACTTGACACACTACGACTACGATCTAGATAAGACACAACTCCCAATCCAAAGCCGAAGCATCTTTAACTTGCAATGTCCCTTAAGGGTACATTGGGTATATGGTAGGTATATAAGGATCCCAGGGTTACGGGCCCATATACTGCGGTAGGACAAAAGTTCGTCATACAAGCTGACAACGAACTGTGCAACGCACTGCGCCCCCCTTTCCCCGTGGACTCCTATTATGAATTAATCCCGGAAATAAAATTACTCCGCCAAACTGGCCACGTAAAATGGACTTGTGCCGGCCACGTAAAATGGATTTCCTGCTCTCTGAATTTCTGCGCGGCAAATGTAGGCCCGTAAGACATACCATGCACCTTCGTGTCTCGAAACTGTTATTCCGAAGATGTAGGGGCCCATGGTTTCAACCTTAGACAAAGGGGCTCCACAACGTTAAGTTGGATGTCCACGCGGCTTGAAATAGTTCTTGCCGGATTTTCGTAAAACAAGGAAAACTCTTGAGTGTAGTTTAAGTGTGAGGAAGAGCTGGGAATCGCATTCGTGGAAGCAACTGGCAAATCCGTTTGGGGCCAGCTAGCATGCGGATGTCATGGAGTCTTCCAAGTGGGGACCTTGCAGGATATCAGCTGCGTGCGGGACATCGAGATGATGCATGGATCTTGGTTTGTCTCGTTTTCTGACAGCAGCTGCATGCCATGCGCCAGCCATTGCATGTCAGGCTCGATGCGCTGACGTGGAGAGATGTGCAGAATGCTTATTTGCGAGAAGCTCAGTGGACGACGCCTTCCACGCAAAAATCAAGAGAAGCGTCCCTCCTAGCCGGCTTTGGGACATCAGGACACTTCTCACGGAGCCGGATCAGCTTTTTGTGTCTGTAAGCCTTGTCCTGAGAATCGTGCAAGATACTGGGGCTTGCGCAAATGAAGGGCTTTCTAAATCCAATCCACACTGCCAGGTCGAGCTGGGCCTGGTTCCAGTTTTGTCTCTGGCGGTCCGGCCTTGAGCTTCATGACGGACTCGCGCATACTTGCGTGTGTTCGCAGACTCCGCTGTGGCTGCTGTGCAAGGTGCTGCTCCAACTGCCGTCTCGACCAAGGCTCTGAGCGAAGTGATGGTGGACTAGTTGTCTTGGGGCATGGCAGATTCAGATGTCAACAAGACACTGTCCCGAAAGACGTTCGAAGCGACGGCGAGCTTTAAAACGGAGCGAAAAGCCAGGGCAATGCAATAGCTTAGGCAACTGCAAGTGATACAGCACTCTGTCTCTTTCACAGTCCTGCAGAGCTTGCAGCCTCAATGTAGCCCATTGCATACATTCCCTAATGATCTCCTGTAGCCTGGGGATACTTCAGCGGATGCTTTCAAAGCTAACGCACAGCTTGGCTCAGGAATGTTGAGCTTCTTTTCGACCCTGTACATGAGACACTACTTGTATCAGTGTTGTGATTGTTGTGAGCCCATGAACCCACCCTTCCACCTTGAGGGCTGCTTGGCCTGTGACGAAAGGCACGACACATTGCTACGTTCTAATTTAAGCCTCCAAGTGTTTGTCATGTGTGTGTGTGTGTGTGTGCGCGCCTTGTCCAGCCATGTGGGTCGAGGAAATGACTCTTTTGGAAGCAAGTTTGCTGTGCCCAATTCTTTGTTCCATTCTCGGTACGGTGTTGCTAGTGGCTGGTGGCATATGCACTAGCCCTCGAGACATGCTCTAGATTTAGATTCTGCTTGGTCAGCATTCTGTCTGTTGTGAATGGAACCGCAGCAATTTCGTTAGCACATACCGACGAAGGATTCCATTGAGCACCTAGGGTTATGCGTAAGGCGCCACGCATGACACATGTCTAGCTGTGATTTTTTAAATTTGTCCAGCATTTTGCGATGCAGTAAGAGGGCTGGAAACAGTTACCGTCATTCGTTTATCTCCATGTCACAAAAAATAGTGCACCAGCATGGCCAGAGTTTAAGGCGTCTTTATTCATCATGCCGGCCATGATGTGATTTCGACAGGACTGTGATTGCGAGCCTCAAGTGGGATGAGTTGGTCTGATATGCTGCTGTTATTGTTGTTCAAGTTTACTGGAAAGTTGGAGTCGTGACCCTGCAGGATGGGCCTCTACAAAACAAGTTTATGCAAGTTCTTTGAAGAAGGAAGCTGCTCCAAAGGCAGCAGCTGCAACTATGCACATGGACAAGATGAGTTGCGTGAAAGTGGGCAGGCAATCAGTCACAATCTGTTTTGCCCGCCAGCCAAAACTGTTCATGTTGCTTGCGGTTCCCTCTTGAAAGGCTCCTGGTTTCAAGACGGTCCGGTGCAAGTATTACGACCAGGGCACCTGTAAGAAGGGCGATGACTGCAGCTATGCACATGGTGATGGAGACCTGACTCGTGACAAATTGGAGGCACAGGCCATGTCAGTGTAAATCACGTGGATTCCTACCACCTGCCAAAGACTCTAATGCCCTGTTCATACATGCCTCAAGAAGGTTGAAACCCTTCCGTGCAAGTTTTGGCAGTATGGACGCCTGGCGAAATCGATGCTGTAGCTCAGTGTGCCTCATCGGAGAGAGCTCCTGAAGTTGAGGCAACTGCCATAAGGGTGTCGACTGCCCATATCTGCATGCGGATGAGGGATGACAACATGCCGTTCCTTTTTGGAAGGCATTTTGCGGATTCAAACACAAGTTGGGTGTCCATGCCACAATTGAAATGAGAATGGCCAGGAGGAAAAAGACGGACAGCTCAATACAAACGGAACGTACTCCGAGGGCGCAGGTGGTCGGGGAGGCTGGGGCGACGCGCACGTGCAGGCAAGGGGCCCCGCAGATAGATGCAAAATGGAAACAACATGCGCAAAACCTTGAACATGGACCAATCTTGACATTCGTAGAGCAGAAGTGAGAATTCACATGTCCGGCATGGCAGGGCATGGTCGTGGTGCGTTCAGGCGACCAGCTTCAAGACCGCCTTGTGCAAGTACCATGAAACGGGCACCTGCAGGAAAGGTTCTGCTTGCACCTTTGCGCATGGGATGGAAGAGCTTGCCTCCGGTGCAAATGCTGCTCAACCCGATGCCAGCGGTGTGTCGGGGAATTCTGTGGCCTTGAGCAGCTGGCATGGATACATGTTTTCCCAATCACTTAATTATTCATCGTTTCGTGTTTTTCTTTTTTCCGTCATGGGTCAACTAGGATCACAACCTTGACTCGCCCTCACAGTATCATGCTCAGGCAGCTCCACCCATCGACGAGACTCAGCCTCAGCCATACTGCCGTCGGATCCTCAGGTCTGATCGGCTGCCCCCTCTGAAGCAGAGGATAAGAACTTGAAAGGAAATTTTGGATGCACGGCTAGTACCCAGAACATTGGACAGCACTGTGAATATCTTTGCTGCAGAGTCCATTGGTTCTTCAACATTTTGTCTGACTCACGAGTTGTATGGCTAGGCACCATTCCCGAAATTGGCTCGTCCAACAGTCTGTGGGAGATGCTTCTCACACCAGGTCGCGAGTGCCAAAGAGGCAGTTGGACGGCTGGGCAGACGATTCAGAAGCTGTCAAGCACCAGAAGACAGAGAATCAAAGGTTTCTTGTCTGCCAGCACTTTCATGGTCAAGTTCCAGTCAACCATTCCATTGTCCACTTGGTGCTTCAGGCCGCCATGCGCGTTCTATAGAGTCGGCCGTTGCGCAAGAGGAGACTGCCATGCATAGCATGGTTTTAGGCAAGACTAGCCAAGGATGCGAAGGCTGGATCGCCCCTGAAGTGCAAGAATTAGAAGCTCCCAGGAGTTTGTCAGAGTCTAACAAGAGGGGTGCAAAGTCAGGGTCATGGCTGCAAGCCGTGCAGGAGCAGACTGCCCATATTCACATGGTGGTGAAGCAGAAATGCCTCCAGCTCCTGTGGCAAAGGCCACCCGTTTCGGCGCAGTCTTTCCCATCTTGGGTGATGAGCTCACCAAAGCAAGCATCATGAAACTAGTCTGCTGCATACGACATGTGATTCAGGAAAGCTGACTCCCCAATCAACTCCGTTCAATTCTAAATGCAGCCGTTCTTGACGTCATGGCTTGATTGATCAGGTTTCAAACGAAGGAGGGGGAACAACAAGACTGGAGAGAAGCGCCACAGTGGACGGACAGGGCAGCACAGAAAACATCCCAACCCCAACTCCTGGTTTGGCATACTTTCGGGTGGGTGTCGCATCCAATCCAATTCTTTGAGACATGTGAATGCTCTGCCCGTCTGGGTCTTCCTCAAGATCATTGAATGTCCGACGACAGGCTCTTTTTCTCCAGCTGCGCAGTCTGCGTTTTCCGGGAAATTGTTGCTATAGAGCTGAAGTCGTTCTTTGCCGTCAGGTGCAGGAATCCTATCCAAAAATGCTTGTTTCAGTCACACAGTGGAAAGAAACAGCGTAGCTGAGCAAACAAATGCTTTGAGCGTTACTTTGTTATAAGCTGCAGAATAGGAGCTCCCCCGAGTTAAAAAGCTTGTGCCAGAGTTCAGCTGACTTGCGAGGTGGTTTTGCCTCCAGCCCGTCCCACAAGCAGATGGCAGCCTGCACGGGTACAAGAAGCTCCCGCCGCTGCAGAACCTCCGGGAGTGGGACCCTTCAAGCGCACCTTGATGTGAGTGAGCTTTAGTTTTTTACAGCCCAATCATGGAGAATCACATGGAAAAGAAAATGTATATATTGGCCTATAATATAAGGATTAGATGAGCTACGGTCTAAACTCCTTAAAGGAGATTATGTAGGGTATTATATAGGGGAGTATTACAGGGCTTGTTAAGGGGGATACTGGGAATTTAGACTATGGCCATGGCTCATGTTTTATTTTTATTCTTGCATGCCATTGTTGGCATAAAGTGTTTACGCATACTTGCGCAGCTGAGGCACGCTTTGCAGATTCTTCCTTGATGGCTTCTGTGCGAACGGCAATGCCTGCACCTTTGCTCACGGAGAGCATGAGCTGCAACAGCCGACGGAAGGCCGGACTTGTTCTCGAGACCTAGGTTGTGGAAGAGCACTGTTGCCCCTCTGGATCTCTTTCGACAAACTTGTAATTGCCCTGTGGGGCCTGCCTGACAGGTGGAACATGGGTGTTTATACCATCCGGAGCTTCACCTACACAGAACATGGACTACAGCAGCGTGTCTGCAATGCCCGTGTCATCCTTGCAGAAGACGCAGCACCAATCTCAGCAAAGTTATAGATCTTGTGAGAACCAGATGGGCAGCGCGTTGTGGAATGGCTTTGAGATAAATCGAGGTTGTGCGCATACTTTGAAGCCGGATCGTGCAAGAAGGCCGTTCAGTAACAGTGTCGTAATTTTTCGGCTGCTGACCTGGAGCCTGCACTGCAGGGTGCGCGTTGCACCTTCGCGCATGGAGCTCACGAGCTCGTGCGAACAGCTGGCACGGGCAAGGTGGTCCCACCTCCTGCAAAACTGGAGGCTTTTCTGGTCTAGCTTAGGAACCAGCAGCCGTGCCAGCCTAGAAGCCACGTCTGTATGCCCCAGGAAAAGCCTGACGAGGAAAGAACCCAAAGCTCGGAAGGCACGCGACACGAATTCAACACATGCGTTGGCTTGTCCAGCATGGCTCCTGCAGGCTGTGCAGATCTACATCGCCAGTTTCGGCACGGCCACTTCAAGACGCGCATGTGCAAGTTCTACCTTGAGGAGAGCTCCAAACCCCCTGCCCTTCCCCTTGGACCACTGCAGGAAGACACTAAATGCCTCGACCGGAAGTGTGTCATCGTCTACCTTGTAGGGCCCATGAAGTGTTTATGCTCAAGCCTGAACAGCAAACCCTGCAGGGCCACTGCAGAGACGGATCAGATTGCAGATATGCCCACGATGAGACTGAACTGCCAGCAGCCGTTGATGCAGATTTGGGAGAGGAAGAAGGCTTGTTGCCTTGCCTGTTTGCTGAATCTGGTCGCCTGGGCAACTTCTGATTTGGCTGAAGCGGCACGCTTGCTTCAGGTCCTTCGAGTGAAAAGCACATCTTCTATAAGACCAGGATGTGCCAGCCCCACTTGCAGGCAGCATCCCCAGTTGTGATGTTTGCATGGTAGGAGCTGCCCTACGTCGGTTTGCACCTCTTTTGTGCAAGCTGCCAGGGCCACTGCCAGAAGGGCAGCTCCTGCAACTACGCGCACAGCGAAGCCGAGCTTCAGCCTCCTTCTTGGGCCAAAGGCGGGTCTCCTAAGCTTAGCGGCATCTTAGCGGCTTAGTGGTGCCATGTCGTGCCATGTGGTGCCATGTGGTGCCAGTTGCCCTGAAGGTGAGCCTGGCACCAGCACCCGTTATGGGATCGTGGTACCCAGCCTGGCTGGCACCGAAAAGCTTAGTGCGACGTAGCAAAAATTTGCCATCAAGCTATCGCTCTGGACATGTTAACGTGTTGCAAGATGTTTAGAGCAAGATCTTCACTTGCGGCTGTTTCGGCGCAGTTTTGTAGCAACACTTGACACGGTTGTTAGTGCAGCTCCCTGCCATGCGCCAAAACATGCGCTTCGTTCCTTGCAGGCATAGCCGCACCCCACTGCCTATCCTCCTGGCGTTGATTTGCTTCGCTCCAGCCTTTGTTCCTGGACCCATTAGCCAGAATCTCCAGAGACAGCACAGGCTTCCTCATCTGACTTGCGCACGAGATGTGCGCTGCAGGGCTAGAGGGGGTGAGGAGGACACGGCTGTGGCAGTCGGTGATTTGGTCGAAGGTCTGTATCCAGATGATGAGCAGTGGTATCCAGGAGTTGTGGACAAGGTCAATGACGATGGCACCTACACCGTCAAGTGGGATGATCCGGATGGTGGGCCAGAGAGCCATAACCTTGAATTAGACAAACTCAAGAAGATTATCATCTACAAGGACTATAAAGTCGGAGAAGCAGTTGAAGCTGTCTTTGAAGATGGTATGTGGTACCCGGCTGAGGTTACCAAGATCAACGATGATGAGACTTTCACCGTCAAGTGGGACGACCCAGACGGTGGTCCAGAAACCTCTGAGGTGAAGGCACAAGACATGAAGTATCCGCCTATCCCCTTTGAAAAGCTAGAAGTGGGTCAGAAGTACACTGGAACAGTTCGTTCCGTCCTCGATTTCGGTGCTTTTGTCGACATCGGTGCTGAATCAGACGGCCTGCTGCATATATCTAGGATGTCAAAGGAGAGGATTGACAATATTTACGATTTCGTCCAAGAGGGACAGGATGTAGATGTTTGGATCAGCGGGAAGCGAGATGATGGAAAGTATGGCTTGACCATGGTCGAGGGAATGACAGATGACGGAGGCCGTCGTGCCCCTGCGGACCTCACGCCTTTCCAAGATCTTTCCCCAGACGACTGGCAAAAAGGAGTTGTTGCACGAACTGCTCCGTTTGGTGCTTTTGTCACGGTGACGCTGGAAGGAGGAGCATCTGCTGATGGACTTGTTCATGTGTCACAGATCAAGGATGGATTCGTAGACAACGTGGATGATGAGCTTTCTGTTGGTCAGGAGGTCCAAGTCCGCGTACAGTCTGTTGACATCGATGCTGGTAGGATGAGTCTGTCGATGCGTGCCGGCTTTGGAGGAGGCGGCGGAGGCGGCGGCTTCAGAGAGCCCGCAGACCTCACAGCCTTCGCAGAGGTCTCATCAGATGAGTGGATGACTGGTAAAGTTGCGCGGCTGGCTCCCTTCGGTGCTTTTGTCACAGTCACCGCCAATGACGTTTCCGCGGATGGGCTGGTACACATAACCCAGATCAGGGACGGCTTCGTGGAGAGTGCTGGGGCCTTGGAAGTTTTTTGATCTCATAAAGTTTGGATTTAGGTGATTTGCTGCTCAGGTAGAAGACGAGCTGTCGGAGGGTCAGGAGGTGCAAGTTCGCATTGAATCCGTCGACACGGACAACGGAAAGATGAGCCTTTCAATGAAGCCCGCGGGATTTTGAGCCTCCCGTGCACACCGCACGATGACTTCGTGCACCAAGCACCTTCGGGAAGTATTCCCATTCTTACCTAGCAAGGTAGTTAGGATTGTAGGTCAGACAACAGTATGAGATGCACTGCCTACAGGGCAGATCTGCATCGACAAGCTGACGCTGGTGCATACTGGCCAAAACAGTTCTGTCTGTCAGCAGTGTGTAGCGTGCGTTCAGTTTTCTGGAAACTTGCCGATAAACGTGGCATGGGTTGAAGACACCTTCGGGCCCTCCATATTACAGAAGGGCGCGTGCTACATACACCAAACTGTTGGATAGTCAAGCACTGCCTTTTTTCAGCTGGGAGATACTCTGTAGAAAGCTCAAGAGCTCTAAGATGTGCATCAGCTTATCTGAAATGAGTCAACTCATGTATTACACAGTGCGCAGCACAATGAACGTCATATATTGTCGAAAGACCCCACAATCAAGTGGTTAACTTGATCGTGCACAAGTGTCGTGCCGAGAAGTAGTTCGCATAGCAGCCATATTCGTGTTCGTCCCTGCCCTTGCCAGTTGGACTTGGTGTCCATGTATTTGCGGAACTGCGAAAGCTGCTCTGGAACAGGGACCCTGCGAAATGGTGACAACTGTGCAAAAGACTTGATTTGGAGCCGTCAAAGGTCAAAGGACGTCAAAGGATGAGATCGCAACGACAGTACGGGCTGCGAACCCCCTGTCACAGTGAAGACTGGCGCTGATGATGTTAACGGTGATGTTTACTTTCCTGTTATAGCCTCCTTCCTGTTGGAATGCCTTTTCAGTTGCAATGGTGATGAAGACAGTTGCATGTCTTGCCGTGCTTGTGAAGGAGCAAGGAGCGGCAATCGGCTGGGCATGCTCTTGGCTGGCGCAAGTCGGCCAGAAATTTGCATGATGCCGCGGACAAATGTTTACCCCGTAGGGTTGCGAAACGTAAACGTCCCTGGATGGGTGGAACAACATTGGCACTGTTTGATCGGCGTGTTCTGGCGAGACAGCGCCAAGACTTGGTCATTGAAAAGCAGTCGAGTCCGTTAATAAAATTGCAGATTATGCAGTGAGCACGGCGTGATAGGACGGCTTGGCTGCACAGGTTGCACACGCGATTGGAATGAAACTCGCAAATTGCGCAAATGTGCCAGTCGGGCTGGTACGCTGAAAGGCTTTGACGAAAGAGCCGAAACTTTTGCAAATTTTTCTCGCGTCCACACAGTGGACTGACCACAAATTGCATGGCGGCACCCAATCTGCGCTGTTGTCTGGGGGATTAACTTTGTTTTTTTTTTTCACGGACCTTTTTGCAAACAGTCACCGGGCCCAGTGCAGACAGCTCACGGGCGGTGTGAGCAACACGAAGCGGCCGAAGTCCACAAATCCACCGGCTGGGCCCTTCAGGGCATGCGGCTGGCGAGAGGTGGGACTTCAGAAGAGTCCGCGAGGAGATCGCTGATGAGAGGCAGGTTGCCATCAACATTGCCAGTGCCGGCCAGGGAAAACCCAAGTAGGCTGGTGGCAAACGCACGTGCAGCTGTGATGGACAAGATGGCCGACCAACGAAGTGCGAGGGCGGAGGTGCACGCAGCGCGAGAAAGGGTTGGCACCGCCCGAGCGCGGCAGCGTGCGAGCAGGCGGACGAAGGTGGCCGCTTCGGAACTCCACCGGCCACCGATTTCGATGCCAAGGACAATGAGATGGCACCGCCGGGAAGCAACAAGCTCAGGGTACGCCCGCTCCTTGGCTCGACGGGCAACCTGGAGGGCTGCCCCTGCAGCGCGCCGCGGAGGCGGTGCGGAGCACCAGTGGAGGTGAGTGGTGCGACGAGGGTGGTGTCAACGGCGACTTCTGCGCTCGTTTGGCCTCCTAGGCTCGACATTCAAGTCGCTGGACAGTGGCTCCTGCTTCGCGGCAAACACGGGCTGCTGCTCGCTCGAGGGGCCCGCCACGGGAACGCAGTACCCTTGAGCGCGGGCATGCCGCGACATGGTCACCAAACACGTCCAAGCCACGACGGCATCGGCAAGCTGCAGGTGCAAGGGGCAGCGGCACACGCAATCGCCGGAGAAGCAGCGCCCTAAAAAGGGGCGACGGGAGGCAGAGCTCAGGCGAAGTGGGGCGAGCTGTACAGACGCGCGCTGCATATGGGCCAGCTTGGGAGTCAAACATGGCGGCCGATGCTGGGTCGAGCTCGCGACGGAGGGCCCGGTCACCGAAGTCGTCGAGAGCTCGGGACGCTGACCGCTGCCATCCACGAGTGACGTCGGCGCCCGGGTCATCATCATGCTGTTGGGGGGGAGGCATGCCCCTTTCATGTCCATGCGTGTTTGCACACGACTTTTTGACCTGACCTGACCTGACCTGACCTGACCTGACCTGACCCGCCTCGCCGGAGCTCTGCCCGCCCTCGCCCATCTTCTGGGCGCTGCTCCGCGTATCCCGCTGCCCTTGCACCTGCAAATAACCATTGCCGTCGTGGTTTGGGCGTCCCTGTTAGCAAAACCCATCGCGAATGCCCTCCCCCCCATAAATCAGTCAGTCAGTCAACCTGCATGCCGGTAGGCGGCCCCTCAGGGGCGCAGGCGCAAAACGAAACTCCAATTTTAATTTGCTATTGGTCGTGCAAGCACTCGATTTCAAGCACTGCACATCACTGCTTTGCAAAATTAACAAAACCATCACATGCATGTTGCCAATCTCGGGAATGTTGGGCCTAAGCCGTCCAATCTTCCCATCCCATGACCCGAGCAAAAGCTTCCGGTTGTGTGCACCAAGTGTTTGGTGGTCTGCCCACACGAGTGCCAGTTGGAAACCATTCCAGAGCACGTGTGACCTGGGTTCTGGATGGCAAACTTGCAACGTACGAAGCGAATTTCCAGTACTGACGAAGACATGTCTCAGACCAACTTTGCCCCCATGACATGACGATATCACCTGTGGACGGCAGCGATGCGCTTCTTGTGCCCCCGACGGCGTCAGTGATCTTGCCCTCCAACAGAAACCGGGCCAGCATCGGCCGCCATGCTTGATTGCCAAGCGGGCCTGCGGCTGGCGAGAAGGGGGATGTGAGACAACCCGCACGCAGGTCGCAGATTGCAATCAACATTGCCAGTACCTGCCAGGCAAGGGCTTAGCATGCTGGCGGCCAAAGCACGGGTGGCCATGATGGACAAGGTGGCCGCGCGAGAAAGGGCTGACACAGCCCGAGCGCGGCCGTGTGCGGGCAAACGGACGTTCGGAACTCCACCGGCCACCGATTTCAATGCCCAGGACGGTGAAATGCCAGCACTGGGCAGCAGCGAGCTCAGGGAACCCCCGCTTTTTGGCTTGATGGAGGACTGCCCTGCACCGCGTTGGCGGCGCGGAGCACCAGCAAAGGCGAGCGGTACGACGAAGGCGGCCGGGCCCGATGCTCAAGCCCGTCCCGGCGCGGAGATGCGGCTTTCGCGACCATCACGATGGCCCTAGCGTCCGCCATCCATCCGCCAGGAAACTCCAAGAGCTACATCGCAAAGGCGCCCGGGTTGCAACAGCCAACATCCCAGTCCACCGATGAGAGGGGGGGCCTATATTATTGCCGCAATGCGCAACCGCGCGGGCGTTTCGCGCGTGCGAATGTACAGTTTTCTGGGTGTCACCCTGGCTGTCGTGGAGCCTTCACATTGATGATTTTTTTCCTCCCAGACTTTTCCTCCCTGCTGTTCTCGCGGTCCCAGTGCATGGCGCGTAAAGCGC